TTTTGTTGCGCAGTATGTAATAAAGAATATTGCTTTTCTCAAAAGAATCAATCATTATATTTACTGATAAAGAGATAAACTATAAATTACATACTTTCATAGCATGAAAAGAATTTTTATACTTTCACAGTTTCTCTTTTCAGAAATCTATATTTTTGTGCACATAACTTATTTTTTTCTTTTGCATTCATATTTAATTTATTAATTTGTAAATATTATTAATATGCATTAAAATATTTTTGTAATGCGTGAAACTGCAGCGTGATAATAAAAGATATATGTCATGCTAGTTACTATGATTATGGTCAATAATAACATGTATATGCAAACAATGGTAGCTGATCATCTTTAATTACTGAAGTTAGATTTGTTAACTATCGTTACTATCGTCACTATCGTTAAAATATATTGTATTAATAATTTGTATTGTGCTAATGATTACTAAGTATTAATGGCATATTAAGTTCTTTAATTATATTATTATTCTTTAATTCAAGAAAATACTTGTTACATGAAAAAATATGGTTTTACTAAATTAATGGATAGCATTAATAATAATTTATAATAAAAAGATAATTTATGAAATAATTAATGAAATGGACATTTATAATGAAATGATATAATGAACTTTATCTAATTATTAATTTTTTAGGTATTGATTAAAAAATGACTGAAAAATTATATAACTGACAACTTGTAGAATTTAGTAAAAATTTAACTGCAGAAAGTATGTCCTATGTCGATTGTATTCCAGCAACATGGATTATTTGTAATTCAGTTACTAAGATATTATTAAATTATTATTTAGCACATATAATATTAAACGATTTACTAAAAAAGATAAAACCTAAAGAGACTTCTGCCAATAAATGGACTTTATGATGTGTTAATATACGGGGCGGTACAGGTATACACAGAATAATTATTTGAACTAAATTATATATTATGTTCAGATTGGGAAGTAACTAGTTATTATTTGTAATTAAGTTAGAGTTACTTTTTTAAATTTTTTAGTTATTTTACACATTTTAAACTTATTTATCAATTTAATGTAACTGATTAGAATTTGAATAGTTGCATTATACTGTTAAAAATTTCATGAAATTTAATATACTTTTAATTTACACAATTTAAATTTCACTTCATGATATTACATTAAATTTAATGTATTTATAACTGAAAAGTATATTTGTGTACATGTAATTTAATGACGTATTTTTCATGAAATTTAATAATTGTGTACACGTTTATTACATTTAAATAACTACTGTAATTAATTTAATTTTCAATTAAATCATTCATTACTTTTAATTGTTCATAACTACTTCATTTATATGTAAAGGAAGCTTGTGGTTACATTTTTAAGTGTACGACCGTTATTGATTGCGCAGAAGACAAAAGTTATCTTCAGAAGACATTAACTTAATAATTAATTAAATTATTAACTTAATTATTACTTCCAGCGATAAAAATTTGTAAAAATTACTTTATTCAATGATTTAAAATATAACGGATAGTGTAATTATGTATAAACATATGAAATACTTAATATTTCAGATTCACTTATAAAAAAAACTATAAAACGATTAGTAGAATTAAAAACTTTTTGCGTTTACATCGAATACTGAAATTTCAGAAAAACGAAGAGAATATTAAATATAACATTAAATATAATATTAAATATATAAAAAGAGAACTAAGAAATAATGGATGTTCCTAAGATAATTGATGATAATAATAATAGTAAAATATATTTAAATATTTTATATCGAAATAATTTTATTTATATGCA